AGGTTATAAAGTAGAACTATAATCAGAAGAGGTCTGTAGTCAAGGATTACTAGCCTAGTAACAAAGTTATACTAGAAGCTACTAATCTGACCACAGATTGTTTAATAAAGAAGTTAGACAACAAGTACTTTGAACCCTTTATTATTAAAAAGAAGGTTAGTGTCTCTGTCTACAAACTCTAGCTTCTAGTAATGTAGAAGCACATACACCTAGTGTTTAACAAGGTTCTGTTGTCTTAGTACTATGACCCAAGTTTTCCTTTGTAACAAAGACTCTTACCACCTCTACCAGAACTCATTAGTTCTGAACTAGAATACAAAGTAGAGTATGTAGTAGATACTAAGCTAGTGTACAGAAAACTCAAGTTCCTTATTTACTAGAAAGGATACTCAGTTGAGGAACATACTTGGGAACCTGCTAAGAATCTTACTCATACTACTAAGACAATCTGAGACTTTTATTAACTTTATCTGAGTGCTCTGTATCAACTCTGCCTTACAGATTTCCAAACCCTACTATTTCAACTTATGCCTGAGTTACTAACTAAGTCTAATGTTTACCAATTAGGATGATTGGTTTTAGAGGAGGGGTGATGTTACAGTTCTCTACTCTCATACCTTTAGTTCTAAGGGTTCTATACTCTTCTATACTAGAACTCAGGACTTCTATCCTTTGAGAGTACTGTCTATAAACTATATGTGTACTAACTCTTACTACTACCCCTTCTTACTTTATCATTCTATTCCTTTAACTACCCTTTCATTCCTTGTTCATTCTATAGTCTCTTACCCTTTGTCCATCCCTTCATTCTTTGTACCTTTATCTTTGACCTTTCTTTCTTTCATTCTTTGTAGCTTATTATTCTTAGTAGCTTATATTCTCTAAGTACTCTTGTATAGTTTAGTATATATAGGTGTACAAGATCAGACTAGTTTTATAGTCTTAATCTTGTCTACTCTAGGTAGTCCTGTACTCTTAGGCTTACTCTATATACTCTACTCTTGTCTCACTCTCTCTCTCTCTGTCTGTTCTGTAAGTTCTGACTATGTTCTAGTACTTGTATTCTGTATTTCTGTTGTGTAGGATAGTTATAGCCTGGGTCCCCTTACTGAGCCTTCAGGTCCTGTCAGTAACAGTATAGAGGGGACCTGAAGGCTCAGTAAGGGGACTCAGGCTACAACTATCCTACACAACAGAAATACAGAACACAAGTACTAGAATGTAGTCAGAACTTGTAGAACAGGTAGAGAGAGAGAGTGAGACAAGAGTAGAGTATATAGAGTGAGTCTAAGAGTACAGGACTACCTAGAGTAGACAAGATCAAGACTACAGGACTAGTCTGATCTCATACACCTATATATACTAAACTACACAAGAGTACTCAGAGAGTATGAGCTACTAAGAATGATAAGCCACAAAGAATGAAAGAAAGGGGAGGTCAAAGATAAAGGTACAAAGAATGAAGGGATAGACAAAGGGTAAGAGACTATAGAATGAACAATGAAAGAAAGGGGTGGTCAAAGGAATGGAATAATGAAGTAAGGAAGGGTAGTAGTAAGAGTTAGTATACATATAGTCTATAAACAGTGCCCCTAAGGGACAGAAGTCCTGAGTTCTAGTACAGAAGGGTGTAGAACCCTCAGAACTAAAGGTACAGGAGTAGAGAATTGTAACATCACCCCCCCTCTAAAACCAATTGTCCTGATTAGTAAACATAGAGCTTAGTTAGTAGCTCAGACATAGGTTAGAATAGTAAGGCTTAGAAATCTGTAAGGCTGAGTTTGTGTAGAGTACTAGGATGAAGCTGATAGAAGTCTTAGATTGCCTTAGAAGTATAGGCAAGGTTCTTAGCAGGTTCCCAAGTGTGCTCCTCAACTAGGTACCCTTTCTAGTAAACAAGGAATTTGAGTTTTCTGTACAGTAGCTTAGTATCTACTATGTACTCTACTTTGTATTCTGGTTCAGAGCTGATGAGTTCTGGTAGAGGCAGAGGGGGTCTTTGTTGTGAAGGAAAATTAGGATTATAGTACTGAGACAACAGAACCTTATTAAACACTGAGTGTATGTACTTTTATATTGCTGGAAGTTAGAGTTTGTAGGTAGAGGCACTAACCTTCTTTTCAATAATGAAGGGTCTGAAGTGCTTGTTGTCCAACTTCTTCATTAGACAATCTGAGGTCAGATTAGTAGCTTCTAGCATAACCTTGTCACTAGGCTGGTAATCCTTGGTTGTAGACCTCTTCTAATTATAGTTCTACTTTATAACCTGTACTACCTTCTCTAAAAGAGCTTGTGTGTCCTCCCTGGTTCTGTACATCTGTTCTACAAAGTCTGTTACAGATTCAGAACTACTGTTCCAGTTTAGAACTGTCCCCTAGTACAGATGTCTCTTATAATTGAGGAAGAATAGGGATTGTCCTGTTACAGAGTGTTACTAGTTATTGTACACAAATTCTGCTAGAGCTAACCATTCAAACCAATCTGATTACTAATGATTAATAAACATTTAAAGGTAGAGTTTGATCTCCTGATTGACTCACTCAGTTTGACTGTCAGTCTGTAGGTAATATGTAGTAGAAGGGTTCCCTTAAATTCTGAGAAGCACATACAAGTCCTGTATGAATTTCAACTCAAATTATAGTCTACAATTGTGAATGAGCTTCTGAGGGAGTCTGTACAACTAGAAGACATGATCCTGATAGATACACACTATACTTTTAGAAGTGAGTTCTGTTTGGGTCAGAACTGTATAGACTTGTTTAGAGAATTGGTTGACAATCATACAGATAGTATTGTAACCCTGAGACTTGAGTAGCTTGCTAATCAGGTCTACTAAGACTTCTTCCTAAGAGTGATCTAGAATCCAATATAGATGTAGGAGAGTCTAAACCCTTGTCTGGTAGGCTTTAGTCTGTTAGCACATATTACAACCAGTCATGTACTTTAGGATTTCCCTCTACATTCCTGGCCACTAGTAGTTCTGAGTAATAAGTTCCTACATTTTGTGTTAGCCTAGATGTTCTACAGTCAGATTGTTGTAATAAGCTCAGACAATGTCCTCCTGTAGCTTCTGATCCTTTAAAACATACAGTCAGCCTTTCTAGTAAACCTGTCTATCCTTATCCTTCTCCTAATCCCTAGCCTGCTTCTCTAACTACTTTACTACAACCTAGTCCTACATGTGTCTTAAAGCTTACTATATACAGGTGACAAAGTCAACATTCTTAGATTTAAGTCAGATCTCTTAGATTGTCTCAGATGCAAAACAGGAATTGTTTAGGAGAACAAGATTTTTGTTATCATTCTCCCCCCTTTTATAACCTACTTGTCTTGAGAGTAAATCAGCTTTTGTTATTTGTGTTCTGGATTTGTGGGTCAGTATAAAGTCAAAGTCCTACAGTTCTAACATCTAGCAGGCTTAGTAATAGTTGAGCTTCTGAGGCACTCAGAAGTACTAGAGATTAAGGTGATCACTCTAAATCTTAAACTTCTGTATAGTACTAAGGAGATATTAACACTACTCCTCTAGAGAACAGACAATTGTAAGGAGTTCCTTGTTATAGATAGGGTAGTTCTGTTCTGTTGTAGAGAGGGATTCTAATCAGAATACTATTAGACACTACTTTCTGTTAATGAACTAGGACAGTACTACTCTATTTGCAAAGTTGGAAGAGTCAGCTTTGACTCAGAACTTGTCTATAACTGTCAGAACTACTAATACAGGCTTACTAGTAATAGTCTACTTAAGGGACTCAAACACAGACTACTACTAATCATTCTATTACTAAGGAACATCTTTGCTAGTAAGATTGTGAAGGGGCCAGACAATAGTACTAAAGCTTTAAATAAAGTATTAGTAGTAGTTTACAAACCTAAGGAACACTTGGACCTGTTTCAGGTTCTAAGGTTGTAGCCAGTTCCAAACTACAGTTACCTTTGTTAGATCCATGTAGACCTCTCCTCTACCAATTACAAAGCTTAGATAATCTACTGACTCCTGTACAAAAGAGTACTTTACTTCTTAGAGGAACAGTTTATTATCTTAGAGCTATTGTAGAACTGCTCAGATTAGTTAGTAATAGTGCTCAACTGTCTGGGTGAAGATCAGAATGTTGTCCAGATACACACTAACATGCTCTGAGTCAATCAGATCTATAAGGATGTGATTCATAAATGACTAGAACATTATAAGCAAGTTAGTTAGTCTGAAGAACATTATGGTCAGTTTGTACAATCTGTAATTAGTTCAGAATACAGCCTTCTACTCATCTCTGTCTTAGATCCAAATATTATTGTACTCTTATTAAACATCCAACTTAGTGAAAACCCTAGATGTATGTGTCTTATTAATGAGCTCCTGAATCAGAGGGAGCAGGTACTTGTTTTTGACAGTACTCTCATTAAGACAATAATAATCCTAGACTAGGTAGAGCTTCCTATCTTTCTTTTTGACAAAGAAGAAAGGGGAGGCTATAGAGGACTTTAAGGGTTGGATCTGACTGTTCCAAAGATTTTCCTAAAGGAACTTGTTGAGCACCTCCTACTTGTCTCTGTTAAGTAGGTAGATCTTACAATCCTTAGGTTAGAAACCCTTAGTCAATTCAATTGTATAGTCTTAGAGACAGTGTTTAGGAAGCTAGTTGAATTCCTCTTTACTAAAGACTTTAGGGAACTCTTGGACAAAATCTGGCAGGCTGGGTCTATGTGTGTTCTAGAGTAGAGTCATTCTGAGAGGGTTCTAGACTGGTTCTGTCTCAGACATTCTTTAGATTGACTCTGTTCTGCCTTAACTAGAATATGTATCTACATATCTATCCTAATTAAAGAAGAACAACTGGTTACCTTTATTAGAACTGTTAGTAACATTAGAAGCATTTGTATCTACTTAGAACAGTAGTACAAGATAGTTACAAGACTTGGGACACTGATCAAACACAAGTGTCTACTCTAACCAGTCAATAGTAGGGTTGTGAGTCTTGAGCTATTCAAATCTGATGAAGATGTCTGTCTTTCCAAGGTTAGTAACTCTAAACTCAATACTTTCCTCATAATCCTGAATAGTCATCTGTAGTTAGACAAACTCAGTAATTTAACTATTCTGGTTCAGGGTTCTGTCTACATTGTATACTAGGATCAGAAGTAGAATGTATTAAGTAGGGAGGTAGTGTTCCTACACAAAGGCCTTATTGATACACAAACTAGTGTATCTACTATCTACCAGAACTGTTGTTTGAATCTAGGAGGATCCTGAGAAGGGAGCCAAGAGGACAGGGACCTAGAGCTAGTGTCTAGAACATCCTCAGATAAACTACTACTTGTTCTGAAGGGAACATACAGTTTGTACAGCCTTGTTGTCTGAGAGGGTGAGTATATACACTAACATTTCCTTATTAACCTCTCTCTTTTAACAAGGACAGACTCATGTTCTCAGCTGTGAACTCAGCTGAGACTATCCCTGCTTGATACTACAGACAAACTACTAAGTAGTAAACAGGGCTGAGTAGTATTCTGAATGTTCTAAGATCTTAGAACACAGAAGTAGTAGGTTGGATTATACAGATTTAGACTTGGATAAAGTGTGAAGAGAAGAATCAAAAGAATCAGAAGAAATAGGAGAACTATCTACTTTTGTTTCTAACTTTTTTCTTTCTAATAAATAATTTTGTTGATTTATTTTTTCTACTTTTTCTACTTTTTCTACTTTTCTTACTTTATTTACTTCTAATCCTACAGTGTCTATTGAATCAAAAGTGGCTATTAAAAAATCTGAGTCATAGCCCTTTAGTACTACATTTACTGTTAGGCCTCTACAAAATCCTAGAGTATATAGTTAGAGTCTAAGAGTTCTAAGGTGACTTTCAGATTTGTAGAAAAGGCTTCTTACTACAAATCCTACTCATTACTTATTATTACTCTAATGACCTGACAGATATACTATTGCTTCTGTAAACAGTCCTTAATCTAGTGCCCTGACTTTCTGTAAGCAAAGTATGCTCCTTACTTTCAGGCTTCTCTAATGTCTATCAGAACAGATTGATTACAAATTACAGACAGATTGATCTGAGGGCTCAGAACTGTTAGAGCTAAATGTATGTGTAAGTGTTCTGTACAGACTTAATGTATCTAAGCTATAGCTTAGTTGAAGGAGATAGTGTGTGTCTTCTACTCAGTGTAGGTAACCAGTTCTAGCATTATTCTAAGAATCTTATTAACCAGTTCCAGGTAAAGAGCTTTTTTAAGCATTCTAATAAGGACATTATTGAACCTAAGTATGAATCCTACCTTCTAGGCTAGGATATCAAACTCCTGAAAGAAGGTATTGACAGAATGTTTGCCCTGTCACAGAGACACAAGCTTGTTCTGTACATTATACTTCTCATTTGGATTAATGAAGAAAGTACAGAGCTGCCCTATAAATTCTGAGTACAACTCATTGTTCTAAAGTCAGATCAGACTTCTGATCCAATAGCCTTTGATTCAGTTCTGAGCCTAGGTGGCTGTGTTGCCTTCCTTCATGAAGGAGAGGATGAATAGGATACAATCAAGATCTAAGGATAGATTAGTTAAAGTAGTAGTCATGTATAGTTTGACTTAGTGTTAGAAGTCCTTAAAGTGCTACCTATTAAAGTCTAAAGGGTAAGCTATGTGTACTTTCTTTCTAGAACAAGTTGTGACTTCTGAAACAACCAGAACAGGTTCTAAAGGGGCTAGGGGCACATGGTTGGTAAAGGCCTCTTAGATAGAGGTTTACACATATTAAGCTAGTTCTACTTATAACTGCTAATCTGGTAAGACAGTAGGGGTGGCAGTTAGTGTAGGAGAGTCTATGTTTATACTACAAAGGAATCAGCACTAAACTAAAAGGGGTAATGAATAGAAGAAGGGTGGCAAAAGTTTAAAAGGGGTTTAGAGAGTTTAAAATTTAAAAATGTAAAAGGGTTAAGACAAAGAAAAGAGATTAATACAATAGTAAGTACTAATACTCAAAATGTAGGAGAGTTGTAGGGTAGTAATGGGTAGTCTTGATCTGATGTCAGCAACAGTATAGAGGGGACCTGAAGGCTCAGCAAGGGGACCCAGGCTATAACTATTCTACACAACAGAAATACAGAACACAAGTACTAGAACATAGTCAGAACTTGCAGAACAGGCAGAGAGAGAGAGTGAGACAAGAGTAGAGTATATAGAGTAAGCCTAAGAGTACAGGACTACCTAGAGTAGACAAGATCAAGACTACAGAACTAGTCTAATCTCATACACCTATATATACTAAACTACACAAGAGTACTTAGAGAGTATGAGCCACTAAGAATGATAAGCCACAAAGAATGAAAGAAAGGGGAGGTCAAAGATAAAGGTACAAAGAATGAAGGGATGGACAAAGGGTAAGAGACCATAGAATGAACAATGAAAGAAAGGGGTGGTCAAAGGAATAGAATGATGAAGTAAGGAAGGGTAGTAGCAAGAGTCAGCATGCATATAGTTTATAGACAGTACCCCTGAGGGACAGAAGTCCTGAGTTCTGGTACAGAAGGGTGCAGAACCCTTGGAACTGAAGGTATGGGAGCAGAGAATCGTAACAGGTCCCTCCTACACTGTCACTAACACATGTCACCAATCAAACTTAAATATACTATTATCAATTGTCTGCTCTTAAGATTCAGAAATGTTTCTCTTCCCATACAGACCTCCCATCCTCGAATGTGCTAAGCACAACAACAATAACAACACATAAACATAACCTAGCATAGCTTCAACTTCACAGACTGCAACTGATACTGACTTGCACCCTACCGTACAAACGACCCCTACACAATCGTCGCATCACTCAGCGACTCGCCAAACACAACTTCAGACACAATCACATTCTCCTCAACGACCGTCCCGTACCCAACACAGAAACCGTTGCCTCCTGCTGCATCGTATTCCATGACCGTACCACCACAGTCACCACACACTGTCTGTTCGATTTTATTTCAGTGTTGTCATTCACAAGTAAAAGAAGCTTTGTGGGAAGCATACCATTTCCAGTTAATAAAGATCTAATAAAGATGGGCCGGGATATCTAATAGTAAGAGAACAGAGGGAGAAGGAGATGTGATAAAGTCGGACTTGTGAATCGGAAATTGAAATGTATGCGTGGGAAACAACTGACACATTTTGATTCAGCTGCTGTTACCATGTCAAACTTTAACTTTAACCCGTCCCTTTCATTCTACTACACAAAAAGAACACTATTAACGTTTTTTGAGGATTAACGTTGGCCCCTGATGGCCCACGAGTCAAGACTAACAAAGGCAAAAACAAGCTCGAGTAATAAACCCGAACGGTACGTTTTTTCTCTCAGTTCTCACCATTCCGAAGTAACTTGCTTACGTTGACTAACCAGTCTTCAATCGATTTCGGCTGCATCCGCTGCGAAAAAAACTCGAAAGCCTCGCGCGGGAGTTCATAGATCGATATCGCTACCAGTGTACCAGTAAAAACGCTCTGGGGTGGTGTTTTTGCGATGTTTCTCGTCAACATCCATCTTTTTGCATCCTTTGGCCTCTCAGTGAAGCCCGCTGAGACAATGAACGTTCAATCCGCCCATTCATTCGTAAGTCCACTTTCCTTTCGCATCCTAGTTCAACACATTAATAAGGATTTAGGATGAGCGTGCTAGGCTTTCCAAGTAATCCTCTGTGCGACTATTCAAGGGCGACCCACCTCGTTCTTGTCTCTGACTGGTCCAACACCAGTGCTAGCCGATTGCATATTTGACGAAAGTTCGGCATGGATCGTGGAAGTCTGCAAACCTGGTAACTTGCTGAGCTGTTGTGCAAAACCTTCCATCCCGTCGGATCTTAAACTCGGTTCCATGAGCCACCATGTGGTAGGCTTCAGTGATTCCGTGACATCGCCTTGTCGGTGAGCGACGTCAGCAATAGGATTAGCATATTATTGTACTGAATTAAATTTATCAGTCCGAATGCTTATGAGTTCCCAATAATTTTCGCATTCATCGTGACTGTAGCTTGCCCCGGTAGTGAAGAGTTCCCTTGCGACATTGAACAGAGCGAGTCCATCTGTGAGTAGCGTTTCAATTCCCTATCCCGGTAGTGTGTTTATTAATATGAATAGAAGATGTGCACTCCGAGTGACTTTGACTA